GTAATTACATAGTTATACCCCCTTACCCTTGCAATTGTCTTCTCATAACAATCATTCATAACTATTGCAGTTAAAGTGTGTGACTGGTTTCTGAGATATAAGATGTGATTAAGCGGTTGTTTGGTAGCTATTCCTTACTTATCATCCTGAATTAAAGATGAATGAGTTATAGGTGTCATTGAGAACATTGAGATACTACAGTCCAGCTATATAATAACGGGTTGATGAAAGCAATACTCATATTATTAGGATAGAGTTTTAGTCTGATTATGAGAATGCGATTGAAGAAAAAGGATATGGTGCAATTTATGTACTAAGATATTCAATTAGTTATTCATTTCTAATCTATCTGTGATTGAAGCCCTCTAGAATTTGAAAACCATATTAATTGACTAGCTTCAACACTTCTTACTATATTTCTTAACTTGCAGACTATGGCAGAGGGGACCCTGTGATCATAGAGAAGCATGGTGGAGGTGTTACGTTTATCAACAAACTAAAACAAATGGAGGATAAAAAGATCCAATCTAAATAAAATGTACAACCATGAATAATATATTAGCCAGATTTTACATGTATTTTATATTTTAGAGGTTTCGAAACTGTTATTACAATGCCTATTTCATGTGATTATAAACTAAACTAGACTGGGTAGCTTCAACCTCTAAGTATGAATGTTAGAAACTAGACAACTCTCTGTTTGACTTTCTTCTAATACAAGTATGTGTGATGGTGGTAGATTTCCAAATAGGATGGTTCCCTATTCCCCTCTGCAAGAACCGGTACCGGTGTTGGACCGGTTCGAGTCTACTTGATTGGTAGGACTATTTATCTTCAACAGAATCGGTCAATCCAGCCACATCAACAAGAATTTCATAAATTTTAATAGAATTAACCGATTTAGCCAATTTCAATATTACAAAATGGGCTATTTATCTTAAGCAAAACGTTTATTAGTCCTAAATGAGACTAAAAGTAGCTCCAAATTCCACATTAGGGGTATACCCCTTTTATTTTCAAAATAGGAGTAATATATGTCTCTTCATCCTACTTTATCCCCAACCTATAATTTCTAATAGATTTATTCATTAATACAAAAAATCATATTTTTATTTCTAATAAAAACATAAAAAATTGTAAAAATATTACTCCCTCCGTCTCTTTTTATTTGGCCAAACACCATTTTTCAAGTCAAAGTTGTTCAGCTTTGACCAATTATATATTTATACACGGTAATATTGATAATATGAAAATTATATAAAAATGTTCTTTGTTAAAAATACTATCATAAAAGAATAAATGTATTAACTTTACATAAATATATTAGTTAAAATAATAGATTAAAGTTTATTATCTATGACTGAAAAAGTCAAAGATGACTAAATAAAAAGGGACGGAGGCAGTATAAATTAATAAAGAATGGGAAAAAATAAATAAGATAAATAAAATTAGAAATAAAAATAAAAAATATTTTAAAAAGTAAAAAAATATAAAATAAAATACCTAAAAAATACGTTTGCATCCTCCACCGCCCAACACCACCACCTTTGATCATCGTTAAAAAGAACGTCACCTTGTGTAAAAAATGTGACATTTCTCTGAAAATGTCATAAAGATGACATTTGTACTCTCTGAAAATATTTATCTTTCTTATCAAAATTGCCATAATATTGATGTCATTTTTCCCCAACTTGACAAACTTTTCCGGCGTCCGAAGGTGGCAGTGCTGGAATGTGCTGAGGTGGCGGTTGAGGTTTGTATATTTTTTTTTAATTTTTTTTACAATTTTTAGTTATTTTATTTTACTTTTTTTTTATGTTTTTATAATGATTATTTGAAAAATCCTATTATGAAGGGCAAGGAAAAGAGTAGAATAGGAAAAGTTAGTCCTATTTTGGGAATTTAAACATTAAACTCCTATGGTTGCAATTATCCTTTTATTTAATCCTCTTTAGGGAAATTTCCATAATTAAAATTGAGAACATTTTAATTCAAGCTGAAAGACAAATGTTGTGCATACATTTAGGAAAATAATTAAATTACTATCAAATAAAGTAAAATAATTTTCACCCCGTGCAACGCACGGGTGGGAAAACTAGTGCACATAATAAGCATAGAAATGCACGGTGCAAAAATGTCACATGTCCGGTACGATAATATTTTCTCAAATTCCAATGCTACTCGTCATGTTTGAACTCATTGAACACGTACGGAGCATCTTCAATTCGATCATCTCTTAGAATTCAGGAGCCTATTTCGTTACTCATCAAAGTGTTCACTTCCGTCTTGCACGTAAAAACCAAAAAGGATATTTGTATGGTACCTACTCAAATAAACAAGGTACCCGTACCCAATATTTTTTAGCCAATCAAATAGCTGTATACTAAGTTTGATTATTTGCATTGTAGTCCCAAATCAACAATTAGTTAATACGTCAAGTGAAGGTTAGGCTATGAAGCCCTTCTAGGCTGAAAACTACCCTTCAAGTCGATCTCCGCACTTCATCTACATAATTTCCTTATGCATCCTGCATCCTGTACGTTTTCTTTCTCTAGTTTTCATTCATTTATTTTTGTACCCCTTGGGGTTTTCATCTATTCATAAATAATAAGCTTGTTTTCAACTTATCCGTTTTATCTATCAATTTTTTCTATTAAATATATCGTTTCTATTCATTTATTTTAGTACCATTTTGTTTATTCTACCATACATTACTTTTTATTATTATCACAATTCAACACGTGAAACAAAAAATTACATAAAAAATAATTAAAATGATCCAGTTAACTTAGAATTACTTTCGTGTCTGAATTGACTAGAGTAATTGTAGAGGATCATATTAGTTATTTTCATGTAAATTTTTTCTTTAATTTATTAACAAAATATGTACTCTATATTAAATATATATTTTCGATAATTCAACACATTCATCAAATTTAGTCACTTAAATAAGATTAACACAAATTTTAGTAGATTTAGTAAATTCAGTCAATTTCAGTGGTGTATCGATCTCTCGAACACTCTAATCCAGTGGCGGATCTAGAAAATAAATTTAGGGCCCGTTTGATGACTTATGCTTTTGGCTTATTAGAATTGTCAACCAATTTTTCACCAAATGAAAAAAAATTAATTTTGCGCGTTGAATTTTTAATATTCAAAATCAAAATAAGTAAGGTTGTTATTATTTTCCTGACATAATTGATAAAGTTATTATAGAAGATGATTCTAACTATTTAATATAATTTCTTCCTTTTTCTATTAACAAAATATATTTTAAATATAATTTTTACATAATTCAACAGATTCAGGTAAATTGCACAAGAATAATAATATAGAAATATATAAACTCATTATTTAGGTATTCAAACATTATTTCTATAATATTATACATATACGTTTTACACATATATATGAGAAGTGTTACAATTATTATTCTACTTTTATACAAAAGATAACAATGTGCCCTTGCTTTTTATTATTATTAGAATTTAACTCTAACAACCTTCATTACCGATTTCTTTGAACTGCTCCATCTGCATGTATTTTATTGTTGCATTGATTCCTTCACCCTACAATATAATGAATACATATTGACAGCTTGTTATTTTATATTGACGGCTCAATATGTAATTATTATATTTTAGATGCAAAAAAGTGAGGTGCATCGATCTTAAGACAGTCTTAAGGTCTTATTCTTTGCTATTGTATTCAAGCACACAATAATGGAATTGACTCAAGGCTGCAATAAAATATTCAGGACATATATGTAATCACACCAACCTCAATATTAAGGGCTCCATATCTCCATTTTTTGTTAGCATCTTTACCTTCTCACATTCAAAGCTGCAAAACAGACAATTAGAAGCTATAAGTGAAATATCTCATACTGCAAAAGGCAACTACATCCTCCAATAATGTTGGTCTATTGATTACAGAGTAGGGAAAATGTACATATATACCCCTGTATTATAGGTGGAGGAACAAATATAAACTTGTTCTATTTCTCGAAACAAATATACTCCTGAACTTTTAAAAAAGTGCAAAAATATCCCTATTGACTTTCAATTAATAAAATAAATTTCAAAAAAGACCAAAAATAAATTAAGAAATCGAAATTAAAAAATTAAAAAAAAAATGTAATTGTGTCCATTTCTCCCTTTATTGTTTTTATATCACAAGTTAAAAACCTTACAAAATTTAATTGATATAAACTTTGGAGTACTTTTTTTCATCAACTCCAACGAATCTTATTAACTCAAAAGGTCATTAGCCATGTGGCTAACAAAGTAACAATACAATGGGGAATTACATCATAATTAATATCTTGATCTGAGACATTAATTTGTGCTCTTGCAAGCACATGAGCAACACGATTCTCAGAGCGTTAACAAAAAGAGACAATAAAATTACTTTCTGTTTCAAGAACACTCCTAATATCTTCAATAATCAAGTGTAAATAGGAAGACCCGCCCCCTTTGTGTATCCCATGTACCACCGTCATAGCACCTGTCTCAAATTCTACTATGCTTCGTCATTTCTCAATTGCACCCGCTATGGACTCCTTCAGTCATGTTGCTTCCGTCTCGGCCGCTGACCATTTTGCCTCACGCGAGCCCCTGTGCTATGATAAAATTTTCATTTTCTTAACGAGCCCCCCATCCTCACGCTCGATCCTTCCATGTTGGTTAACGCCCCATCAACATTAATTTTAATACATCCTCTTGCCCGTTTCTACCACTTCTCTTCCCCCTTATTTCCTTGCCTCTTGTAAATCACGTTCGTGGCATCATGTTTTTGATCACTTTATTTATATTTTAGATGACAAGTCACTAAATAAGTCACTTTTTCTTAAAATTTTAAAGGAAGTCATTTTTTTGTCTTTTGAATTTAATTTAGTAATATTCATGAAAAAGACTTTCATTATTTATATTTTGATCATATTTTATTTATTGAGGTACCAGAATTATATTGTCAAATATAATGTTAAAGTTCTTGATGTGTATTTTTAAAGGGGAGTTTGGATGTAGTAATAACTGTTTCTGATCCTTCGGCAGGAACTGAAATGTTGAGTTTTTGAGAATGTTTGACAAAATGCAAGTTTTTGTACGGAGTGAAATTTTGTAATTGTTCCGCAAAATTGTTTTCTTCAGTGACTATGTTTCTCTTCTTTCCCGAATTTCAGCAGCCTTGATTTCTCCCGGAGATCAACTTCAGTTTCGGAAAGAAATGGCAGCTTCAGAATCCTCTGCATTCCGGAGCATTCAGATTCTGCTTTGCACCCGAAAAAAGCTAAGCTAGATTCCTCCAACAACCAAAGGTACATATTTTGTATATTTCGAACTTTGTAAGTGTACCATGTCGTTTGTCTTTAACTGTGCTTAACATTTTTTCATGGAATTTATTTCTTCTGGAAGTTCATAAACGTTTGTGAAGCTAAGCTTTGGTTTTTATTTGGAAATATTGATGATGCAGGGAGAAAGAGGAAGCCAATGTGGTTTTGGTGGAAAAGTATGGGAATGGAACCTTAAGGAGGTAATGTATAGTTTACCTCATCCTACATCTTTCTATTGAGTAGAATGTTGAAGTCTGTTTACAGAATGGTGTGCAGATAATTATGCTTCTATTGGTTCATTACTTCATTTGTCATTTTGTTGTTATAAGCATTGGTACTTGTCAGTTTGGCACGCTAAAACACAAATTAAACATTGTGGCAAAACAATCTGGCTAGTCCTGAAATTGCAGATCTTAGACATTGTTTTAGAATTACTCTCCTTGAATGCCCTAGGTTTTTTCCACCCTAATTTTACTTTGAGTCTATCTAACCTGATTAATCTTTGATTAGGTGCTAGACCCCATATTCCAGCCTATCAGTCAAATAGTGCTTTTCAAACAATGAATTTAAAAGTACCTACTTGGTTGTGTGCATGAGCACATCTGTGCACGGATTATTTAGACATTAATAAACTTTTTGGAATGTGATTTAATTACCTAGGTATGTATTGGATGAAGGCTTGCAGTTAATTTTTTTTTTTGAGGAAAATGCTATTGAAGATTTGGATATCGCTGACTTGAAGTTACCTTGGCTTCTAAAGGTCATCAAAGATTTTGTTTTACCTGCAGGCTATCCAGGTGATAAAAATTAGAATATTAATTCACTTTTTTCTTTTCTATATTGTTTGTGTCGTGGACCTCGGAGAAATACTTATGAGGCGTTTACTTCGCTGCTAAAGTCACAGTTAGGTTAGTAAGACAGGTGAAGTAAACACGCACGCTGCTTAAAAAGCCGCTTACTAACCGAAATAGGTGCTTAAAGTGCCGCTTACTAAGCCTACCACACCCCCATGTATTAATTAAGCGGCACTTTAAGCTTTTTCAGTTTCCGAATTTACCCCTTGCCCTTACCCTATTGTTACCCCTGACCCACCTACCTACCGACCCCAACCCCACCTACCCCACCCCTACCCTACACCTTCTATCCCGACCCCACCCTACCCTTACCCTTACCCCACCCCTACCCCCTACCTTACCTACCCCACCCCTACCCTACCTAACTTACCCCCACCCTACCCTTACCCCACCTACCTGACCCCACCTTACCCCTACCCTACCCCATCCTACCCCTACCCGACCCCACCCTACCACTACCCTACCTACCAGACCCCACCCCTACCCTACCTACCAGACCACAAACTTACCCCACCCCTTACCCACCTACCCAACCCCACCCTACCCCTACCCTGACGCTACCCCCATACCCCGACCCCACCCTACCCTTACCCCACCCCTACCCCCTACCTTACCTACCCCACCCCTACCCTACCTAACCGACCCCACCCTACCCTTACCCCACCTACCTGACCCCACCTTACCCCTACCCTACCCCATCCTACCCCTACCCGACCCCACCCTACCACTACCCTACCTACCAGACCCCACCCCTACCCTACCTACCAGACCACAAACCTACCCCACCCCTTACCCACCTACCTAACCCCACCCTACCCCTACCCTATCTGACCTCACCCTACCCCTACCCTGACCCTACCCCATACCCCGCCTCCCACCCTACCTACCCGAACCCACCCTACCACTACCCCACCTACCCAACCCCACCCCTACCTTACCTACCCGACCCACCCTACCACTACCTGACCGCAGTCACCCCACCATACTCTTACCCCACCTACCCCATCCCACCATATACCCCGACCCCACCCTTTACCCCCACCCTATACCTAGGGTGGTGGGGTCGGGGTGGGGCCAATGTGATAGAGGCGCTAGGGGCAGAGTAGGTGCGGTGGGGTTGGGGGTAGGGTTGCGGCAGAGTGGGGTCGGGTAGGGTAGGGGTATTGGGTAGGGTAGTGGTAATCGGGGTAAGGTAGGGTAGGCGGGGTTTGGGTAAGGTAGGGTAAGGTGGGGTCAGGGTGGGGTCGATGCGGTAAGGGGGTATGGGGGTAGGGGCCTATGGGGTTGGGGGTAGGGTCGCGGTAGGGTGGGATCGGGTAGGGGTAGGGTCGAGTAGGTAGGGTAGGGGTAGGGGGTAGGTGGGGTCAGAGTAAGGTAGGGTGGGTAAGGGGTTAGGGGGTATGGGTACACATTTATATTATATACTTGTGTTCATGAATGTTTGTGTGTGTATATATGTATAGGGTTATTTTGGACATTTTAATGTTAAGCGGTGTTTTGAACCGTTTGAAGTAAACACAGTCTTACAACATTGTTTATTTTATGCACCGCTTATTAACACGGGTCTTAATAAGCACCGTTTAATAACCGGTGAAGTAAACGCCTCCTTAGTGATTGCTGATTTAAATTATTCTCATGATAATGCGAGTGTACAAGCACCCTTTTTATCAACAACCATGCAAGCATTCTCACTAGTTTTCTGAGACCCCATAATACCCTACAATGCAGATACAGTTTCAAATGATTACTTGGAATACATGTTGCTAATGTTCCCCACAAATGTTACGGGTGGATCTGTCACACCTTGGTCACCTCAAGTCTCTTAAAGGCAGGTCAAAATTGTTGATCTTTTTAATTCCATGTTGGGTATGTGAACTAGGATATGGTAAAGCTTTTAATCACTCCTTTCTGCTGTCCTCTTAAACATTGTATACAGTACTTGTACTGGGGTTCTAATTTGATATTTTATAGGTATCACTTCCTTATTCCTGATAGAACAAAATTAATAGATAGTTTTATAAAGTAATAATCATCTTATAAATGGGAGTTATTTTAAGTTGGAAAAAGGATTAAATAGATCGTTCTACTATTTCCAATTTATCACTTAAGTCCCTATACTAAAAAAAGTATCATATAAGTACACTTACTTTAAGAAATCAATCAATCTAGCCTTCTAACTGGTTTTTGACCTATAATAGCAGGTTGTTATATTAAAAACTTTAAAGATTTGTTAAAATTTGAAGAAATATTATTTTCAGATTTGTAAGTATTTTTATAAGATTAATAAATTGTTTTAATTGTTTTTAAATAATCTGCTATAGCAAGTTAAAATGACATAATTAACTGTGTTTTTAGAGTAAACATACTTATAGGATACTTTTTTTAGTATAGGGACTTCTGAGATGTTTCCATCATTTGCAATGGAGCCAAAGATTCATTATTTTTTGGCTTGAGAATATGATGGAATAAAGCAAAATGGCTCACTAAACTGTCTGCGCTTCTTTGTTATGAAGCAGTGGTCGGTCCATGCAATTTTGAACGCGATTTTCAATATGGGTCATCCGGAAACAGTCTCTCTGTGCTTTAGTATAGGGGCAAGACTGCGTACATCCGACCCCCTTACCCCACCGTAGGTGGGAGCCTTTGCGGCACTGGGGTAAATGAAAATGAAAAAATGAGGGACTTCTGAGATGGATTGGAAATATTAGAAGGATCTATTTACCCTTTTCCCTTTCAAGTTTCCACCAATGTGTGGAGTCAAAAGATAAAAGTCATCATATTTTCAATACTCGAAATGTTGTACTTTTATTGCATGTGATGACCTTTCAGCTAAATGAGTGGGAATACTCAACATGCAGGCTATTGGGGTGGGATCATTCTCAGGAACTGCTGCCGCTGCTTCTGCTGCTGCCTCTGCTGCTGCCATCAGGTTCCTTTTACTATTCTGCATATCTTGTTGTCATTTGGAGTGTAAGCTTTGGTCAGAACAAATAAATTAGTGTTCCTTTTATGTTAATATATGATGTATCATTACTCGAATTAAGGCATGGATCCATGTAAAGCTAAAAGCTACAGAGGCATGCTTGGATCTTTACTACTTGTATCAAAGTTATCCATTCTTTTTTACAGATGGGTGTCAAAGGATGGCATTGGTGCCCTTGGACGTTTATTCATTGGTTTGGCAGCTTTCAAAACATATGAAAGAAATAATCGTCATTGTTTATATCACTTTAGAGGTTTAGTCAGAAACTGATATCGTGCAAGTTCCAGGTGGGAAGTTCGGAAGTCTTTTTGACGATGATCCTAAGCAGTGGCGAATGTATGCAGACTTTATAGGAAGTGCAGGAAGGTATTGAAAATGTTTTAGGTACTTGACTTACTCATCCTTTTGTAAATGGCTTAATTGATATGAATTTTGTATGTAGCATCTTTGATCTCAGTACTGCACTATATCCCGCTTATTTCCTACCATTGGCTTCATTTGGAAATCTTGCTAAGGTATTAGTGACTAATTCAGTATCACTTTTACAATTTAACATGTTCCCACATTCCGTAAATAAGTTGACTTTCTCTCAACCCTATTTATTGTTATGATTTTATCCCTTCTTTCTCTCAACCCTATTTATTGTTATGATTTTATCCCTTCTCCTAGATCCCCCCCCCCCCCCCCCCCGCGCGCGTTCTTTTTGGCTAAAAGACCGGTTTGGCTGTAATCCTGCTTGTGTTGCATAGAGTAGGGGTGAGTATTATAGATTCATTGCCCCTTTTCCTTTACCGACTCCCCAGTTTTCCAGTTGCATACAAACATTACCTTATTTCTTCTTGCGCGGATATCAAGGAAACTAAAGGCATTTGTTCACCTTTCCAAACTTTCCCTTTAATAGGTGAATAAACTTTTTAAAAAGCTGTGAAATTAAGCCAGCATGTATAATCATTGGGATAAATTGGAAGAGGTATGAGCTAATGAAGATTAAAAAAGGAAAAAATAAAATAAAATAATTAATAGCATGACAAACACAAAAGGATCTAACTACGTATGACTCACTCACTCACATCCCATGTTCATTTGTCCTACTTTTCTTTTTAGCTCATCCTATAATAATGTGTACTATAATAGTATGAACATAACGTTTTTGTGTCCTAACACACACATTCATTCTCTCTTACTTTTTTATATGACTTCACCCATTTTCCCACCTGAGAGATATTTTTGGAAAAGTAACGTAGCTTTTACTTGTTTTCGCTAAAAAGTGCAAAAAGCAGCATGATGTCTTATAATTTGGGACAGATGGAGTATTACATTTAACGTTTGAGGAGGGTTTGAGGGGAACCCCTTTACTTAGAGAGTTCTTCTGAAAATTTTCATCCCCTCCCTAAAAAAGGAGAAAATCGTGCACACACAAACACCTTTCGTCCATGTACACATATCTGTCAGGGTAAGGACTAAGGAGTGCATTATCCTTCAAGGACAGTTATAGTTGTCATTATCATTGTTGCCTCATTCTGGACATCAAATCATTACTCATGTCACTTAAACTCTCAATGTCAATACATCTCACACAGCTTCATTAAAACTGGAATCTATTGCCCAAAGTTTGATAGTTTTCAAAAAGATGGTTGATCAAGATGCCACCTGGCTCATCATAAATGAAAAACATAACGCTAGAGTCAGATTTTCATTTTTATTTTTGTTAGGTGGTGCCCTTCTCATATCTTATGACCCCAAATTCTTTTGGGAAAAAGGCTTGGATGTTGTTGTTGCTCTTGCCCTTCTCATATCTGTTTATTTGTGTGCATACTTTTGTCAAAGAAGGGAAGGGAATAAACATGATTAGTTATACTCACCAATCTACAGTAGACTTCTCACTAAATGAATTTATACACTTTTAAATGTAAAAGTGCAAAATCATGGTATCGGCAAAGATATAGCTACACACACAATCTCAAAACCTTCTTAATGGTAAATCTAGTAGTTTAACAGGTCACATGACTGGTAATTTGACAGGCCGTTGCACGAGGGTTGAGAGACCCCTCCTTCCGAGTGATACAAAACCATTTTGCTGTGTGTGAAAATTTGGGAGATGTAGCAGCAAAGGTGTGTAGTACACATGAAAGTTATGAGCAATATCACCTCGTATTTCATTTTTTAAGCATCCTTATGTTAATGATTAGTTTGATCAATCATGACAGGACGAAGTTTGGGAAGTAGCTGCTGAGCTTGTTGGCCTTGGTATTGGCATATATGCCCTGGTATGTCATTAATTTGTCAATATGTGCTTACTCTAGGACACTCTTAAACTAATTTTGTTATTAAATGATTTGTTGAAGCGATGAAGGAGGTAAGTTTTTTAGTTTGTATTATCCTGCAGGATACACCAGGCATCTCGACATCATATCTCATGTTGTCATTAATATGGTTGAGTACACGGACTTTGCATCTTTGGTTTCGTTACTTGACTCTTTCAGTTCTGCAATTTGACACCGTAAGATGTTAACTATAAAAGCAATGTTCATTACAGTGTTCTGAAGTATGTTTTTCCTTTTCTGGTTTCTGTACCACCCCATCTTTTCCCTTCTGTGCTGTATCATGTAATACGCTTCTTGAATTATGCCACGTGTTGTAAACAATGAATGCTAATCAAATTCACAGTTTTTTGGACTTTCATCCACACAGGTTCAATAACTTGAATTCGGCTTCTGTGCAGATAAATCTCAAACGTGCTCGTATACTAGTTAACTCCCATATTTTGCAATGTACAGTTCCAGATAATGACATTCACATGTACTTAATTTGGCTTTATATGTTGTGGCATTGATTAAATTTATTTTCCAGGGATCACGGACTGTAACAGGAAAGAGAATATTCTGTTGTGGGAAAGGTTCTCAAATCCCCATATTATTTTCGGTGTTCATATGGAAGATATGGTTGGTGGGGATTTGAGAACCTTTCCCACAACAGGGGATCAGGCTGATCTCTCATGCGACAGGATCCTAAATTATTGCCAAGACGAGCGAGTTTACGGCCCCTTAATCGCTACTAATCTCTTAGCGAACGATTAAGTGTGTGTGAATGTGTCCTAGAACAAATTAGATCTCTCTTAATTCATTCTACATGCAATTGTAATTCTAGCTGCAGTCTAGGTTACAAGAGATATCAATTAAATTATTCAAACACAAATTAAACGGCATTCATGCAATTAAACCGACAAGAATCTAGCCATCAATCATGATTAACCCCTTCATCAACCCCAAATCCCTAATTAAACAATTTACAATTCATAATTGAAGAATCAACAGAATTGAGATGAATAGAAATAATTGTCATTAATTAAAAAGATGAACTTACAAATAATCCCAGGGTCTTGGAAGAAAATAGCGTAAAAACGGTGTTAAATTCGTCCCTAGGCCTCTCCGTAATGTTCGTAACGTCAAAATATGGGTATGGGGGTCTTATTTATAGAAAACAGATGAGTTTGGGTTGAACTGGGACTAAAAAAAGGGCTCAAATTCGCGTCTCGGGTGTACGCACGATCGTGCGTGGCCTGGTACGCACGATCGTGCGTACATGGCAGTAGCTTCATGGTCGTTTTCGCTCTTACGCACGATCGTGCGTACTTCTACGCACGGTCGTGCGTCCGTGCTTTTTCAGCGTTTTTCTATTCCGAATTTGACAAAACTTCCTTCATGAAAGTTGTAGAAAATAAAGTCCTCTATCCACCCCAACTTGCCGAATGTGATTTGAATTATCCAATAAAGAGATATGACCAAAATGGTGGAAGGTGTCATTCTGAAATCGCAGCAGAGATCATCTGACTTCATCATCTGTTTTCACCTTCTTTCTCTCATATTCTCGTAATGTTGTCTTCATATGATTTGTAGACCTTGAAGTTGGCTTTCATGTGGATTTTGAATCGTGTTCTTTGGATGCTTCTACAAAGAGATATGCTTGAACGATTAACCAAAGGTCATCCTGATCGTCGTTTTTTTCCAGCTTCATTGTTCTTCTTTTGATCCCATAGCCAATCCTAGAGCTCTTTTGTCATCAAATCTTCATCGTGAACCTCCCGGTGACCTCCAAAGCTCTCAATCCACTCTCGAATGCATCTCGAATCATCCCGATTGCTCCTCAAGTGCCGATGTTGAACTCTAAATTCCTCATTTTGACTCCAAATGCAACAAAACTCGAACCAACGCATGTTAAACATAACTTGAGCTAAAATTAAGACTTGCAAAACCTTAAATCTAGGAAAACCATCAAAATCCAACCCGGACACGCATCAAATGTGTGTCTAAATACGGACTTATCATCTTGCTTAGCTGATGATTGTTTTCGGCTTACTTAATTTCGAATTGTTTATTGAACAATCTATTTGCAGTTTGCAGTGATATTGATTGCAAGGTTTGCTTATCAGTTGGTGGACATCAGTGGCGGCTCACCTGCTTCTGTGGATATCCGGAGACTAGGCCGAGGAAGAAGCTTGTACAATATTATGTGATAAGTAACCTACCATGGATGGTAATTGGGGATTTTAAGGGCATCCTATACATGATTCCGAGAAGAAGGGTTGTATACCTCATCCAAGGTCGAAGCATAGGGGCTTCCGGGCAGCAATAATGGCAAACGGCTTACGTCGTTTCTCATTCTCGGGATATTACTTGACATGGGAAAGAGGCAAGGGGACAATGAACTGGGTGGTAGAAGAGAAGCTTGACAGAATTCTGGCCAGGCTTTGTTGGTGGAGGCGCATGTAAGTGATCATATGGCCTTGTATACGAAGTATTAAAGTTGCCCCGATCGAGCTTCGAAGTAGACGAAAAAACTTTAAATTTGAAAATACTTGGTTGGGAATAGATGAGTGTCGTAGTGTTGTTTGGAACAGCTCGAGTGCATGTTGGGCCACAAAATACTTGAAGAATTAAATAAAGGTATGACCCATGGGTCAACCTTGAATCAGTCGTCTAGTCCAGCCAAGGTAATTCAAAGATAAGGATGAGGAGCTTTGACCGGAGGAAGTGGAACAATGTGTTGGACGTTACCAACTGAATACCGAATTTGACGGAGCTAGAGTAGAAATCGCTGGGAGGTTATATTCATAAGCTGGAGGTGGATTCTTCACATATAAAGAGAATTAGGATGCTCAGTTCGGCACTCACTTTTTCTTATTTCATAGTAGTGGAGGAGAACAATTATCAACATATTATTTCTACACCTACGTTCACTGTATAGTCACAAATACACTCATCTTTCCATTCGAATTGCTCATAATACCAAGTTATTATAATGTCTTATTTCTCACTTGATTAATTCATAATCGATTCTTATTTGCTCGATTCCCAATTCCATTATATTTTTAGATTAGTTAATTTCTAGTCAAAACAATTGGCGCCGTCTGTGGGAAATTCTTGCAAAACGAGAATCAATTATGGCCGAAAGTTCTAATTCCCTGGTAAATGAGATCCAAGCACAACCAGAAGCCGTCCGGGAGGAGCTCCGCGCATTCAAAAGTTCTGATGCGGCACAATTAGAAGCTGTCCGGGAGGAAATGCGTCAACGAATGGCCTTCCTCCAAGGTGAAAATGACGCTTTGAGATCTCAGGTGCAATCGGTGGCATCCATAGCCTACAGCTCACGACGGGGCGAGGATGTAGTTACTGTGGCGACAAGACTGGATATGGGTTCGATTCCGGCTTCAATAGAACCTTTCATCCCTCACTCCGGGACCGACACATCTGGAGGAGCAGGGCCCTCAACTCGTTCCATTCCACCCCCAAATCCCAGAAGGAACGTATTCCGAAATATGTTTGCAGATCCCCAAAGAAAACATGTTCCAAATCATGTTGACATTCCCAAAATGTCGACATCAACAACCAGTGGCGACAATTTCCAAGCCATGTCGACATGCCCAAACGTCTCGACATCAGCAACCAGTGGTGTCAGGAGCCAGAGGTCGTCACCATACAGTCCCCAACCGAGCTGAGGATAACTCAGACAGAAATGCCTCCCAAAGCAGCGGGTCCACAGATACAAACAAACTTGACAAATCCATTGGCTGTCATCATGGAAGAACTGAGGGAATTGCGAGAGAAGTTCAACAGCATACCTGGAGTCCCACGTCCGCTTGACATGGCGACGCAAACCTGTTATGCAGACTCACTCTTCGGAGGACATATCACTGATGTCGAGATTCCGAGGAAGTTCGTCGCCCCCTCAATGAGACTGTTGATAGGACTTCTGATCCGGTGGAACATGTCGCTCGGTACAAACAACAAATGTTGGCCGTCTCGGTCAGACCACATCAGAGAGAAGCTTGCATGTGCCGAGCATTTGGGACAACGTTGGCAGGACCAGCATTGACATGGTTCGTAAATCTGCCGAACGACAGCATCAATTCATTTGCAGAGCTGGTCAACTTATTCAATCAGCAGTTTGCAAGTAGCCGATCCTTGGAGAAGCAGACTACTGACCTCTACCGAGTAGTCCATCGACGAAATGAACCCTTAAGGGATTACTTGCACCGATTCAACAAGGAGAAGGTGTCAATCCCCAGGTGTCACATACTGACGACAATTGAAGCATTCAGAAGGGGACTGCTGGAGGATTCAGAGTTATATCAGGAGTTGACGAAACACCCTAGCCGGTCCTTCGAAGATGTCCAAGTAAGGGCACTGGCTTTCATCCGTCTAGAAGAAGACTTACGATGTCGTCACAGACAAATTGAACAAGACGGGGGACACGTAAAGTCAGAACCTCCCAGGAGACATGACTACAAGCATGGAAAGCCTTATTTGAGGCCTGAGGAATAAGTCGTCACTTCTGTGACAAGATAGATCAGACGACATGATCAAAATCGTCGGACGGGGGGCATGTCGTTCGATGGTAGGCAGGTTCTAAAAAGCTGCAGTACGGTACCTTTAAAGTTGTTTCACTTTTAGTTTATTATTTTCTTTTACATATTATTGTCATTCCCGTGACGAACTAAACTAGTCGTCATGATTAAAGTCGTCGGACATGGGGGCATGTCGTCAGGTAATAAACCCGACAAGGTAAGTGAAATCGTCTGACTACAGACAGGTTATGAAGATAGATATTTAGTTTCATATACATATTCTTAATTTATTACTTTTATTTATCTATAAACGATCACTAACTTAAGCGTCGGAGGGCCGTTGGTTAAAAAGCCAACGGCCACACTCTGACAACATGTCTGTTTGTAGGATATTGACGGAATGAGAGATAGCCAGTACTATACACGCACAATGACAATTGCTAATGATAATTAAACGCAATCCCCTTACTGCGAAGCCTTACAACATGTCAAAACACAATTGACGTGAGGCTTACATCAAACAAAGCCTTACAACACGTCAAAACACATTTGACGGGGGCTTACAGAATTTTAGAGGAAAAGGTGGGGTTTTCATGTACGCTAAACATGAGTATAAACACCACCAATCCTCATCAATGTTTTGGCCAAAACAACAGACAGATCATACATCACAAATGCTGACAACATCGAAGTCAGACAAACACACACACAAAAAAGTACACGTACAAGTGACATCATCGTGTGAAAAAACAACCACATCCAAAGCTACAGAAAATACACAACAGAAGCACGTGCTCCATGAGCACGACAACACAAGCTCAAAAATGGAAGGAGACAACATGAACGACATTGACATACATCATAAATATTCTTGTCGACGATATTACTGAAACAAAAAACGAAACGGTGCTTAAAGTTTTTCAGGCTACGGTTACACTCACAGAGGCAAACCCATCATTTATACAACGAGGGACAAATCATAATTGCCAACTAAAGTGTCGACATCAACCTGAACGAAGGTTGACGACATATCTCACCAGACACGCGACGAGTTGACAAAAGCGTCTTGTTACACGAATGGCAGGTTGACGGCATATCTCATCGTACAAATGACGAGTTTATATGAGCTATATTCAAGGGTGACGTGTATAGATGTTTTCAAGATTTCAACAAGTTGACACTTAATGTGTTGACATGTACGTCCATATGCCTCAACTTCTCGAAAGGGGGCAATTGTTGGGCCACAAAATACTTGAAGAATTAAATAAAGGTATGAACCATGGGTCAACCTTGAATCAGTCGTCCAGTCCAGCCAAGGTAATTAAAAGATAAGGATGAGGAGCTTTGACCGGAGGGAGCGGAACAACGTGTTGGACGTTACCAACTGAATACCGAATTTGACGGAGCTAGAGTAGAAATCGGTGGGAGGTTAGAAGCTGTTCTCTTCGTCTGATCTGAATGTTTCTGATCTGAATTTTTTAAGTTCTGATCTGATCTGATCTGAATTTTTCTGATCTGATCTGATCTGATCTGAATCTTTCTGATCTGATCTGAATGTTTCTGATCTGGTCTGATCTGATCTGAATGTTTCTGATCTGATCTGAATCCTTCTGATCTGATCTGAATCTTTCTGATTTGATCTGATTTGAATGTTTCTATGATTATAATTATGATTATGATTATAATTATAATTATTATAATTGCAATTACAAATATAATTTAAATAAAATTATAATTATAATCGTAACTATAATAATAATAATAATAATAATAATAATAATAATAATAATAATAAAAATTAAATTTAAAATGAAAAAATTTATACCTATTACACTAATTATAAATATAGATATAATTATAACTGTAATTATATTTTTAATTATAATTACTTATA